TTACCACCCTACATCCTACACCTCCGAAGTAGACGTCATGTCTATCGTCGTCCTGCGTGTTGGAAAGTGCCAACGCTGGGCTTTGTGTAGAGCTCAAGTATAAGTCACGATCGTTACACATGTTACTGTTTGCTCACCGTTTCCCACGACGTCCATCAGCCACAACCTCAAGCTCAACTTTCAACTTTCAAGAGGCCAGTTGGTTCCTATCGGGATTCGTGTACGATTACTTACGTTTTGTAGCTCATCATGTCATTCTAGCCGATGTGGACACATTAGTAAGTGAGTGAGTGATTCAAACGCGGGAGTTGCGCGGAAGGACGCTAACGAACCTTCTACAGTCTCATCGACGGCCAAGGCGATCATTGCGTGGGAGACACGACGAAAGACCTTGGATCAGGTGAGTTAATGGGATGTGAACGACTGACATACTTTTTGCAGAACCAACTTTTTATTCACGACCCTCGCAACGCCTATCCCGCTCATTTTAGCCAATCTCCCTGCAGGAAAGGAATAGAAGCAAAGGTAAGCGAACGTTGTCCACGACGAAATCGACGTTGACATACCCGGTCACTGTCTAGCGTTGGAAAGTCTTAAAAAGTCGATAAGCAACGTCAAAATCAACAACTGCAAACCACGACGACTACAGACCACGACGAGCGGACGGCTTACTGGAGAATAGCGACGACGAACAAGAGGTCGACGACGTGGGCGCTGGCGCTGTTGAAAAAATATGGGACTGACCGCCCCATCTTTATAGCCCTTCTACCTTGGCAGTAACCAGTCGAGTTGTGACTGACGTGACGCAGAAATTTTATGGAGGTAGGGTTTCGTATTGTGCATTGTGCAGGGTTCGGAACCGGGGAGGACGGAGGAAATGAGCTTTGCATTGGTTTCGTACGTATCCATTCCTTTGGTTTATTTAATCAACTTCGGCTTCGTTAAATGTATTTATTAGGCGGCACTCGAAATACATTCAACTCATCCCGAGAGAACAACCGACCAACGCACAACGGCAGAATTCTGCACGGCTCCCGTTCGCGAAAGCCTTGCGACGCTTTGAGAAAGATACAAGCCAAGTTGTTTCAAATCAAAGTACGTACAACCATCAGACCCTTGATGAATATCTTTCTGACAGTTTAATGTTCAGAACACCGTTTTTTAATTCGGAATCGGGAGAGGAGAAGGAGGACACATTCAGCGGTCATCTAAACTCGAATGAAACTACGTGCTTTGGTCCTTCCTGTACAGGTAAGTGTATTATGATTCTACCACATGAATAAACAAGTTTCAGATTTTTCTCTATCACAGAACCACGAAATCGTATTATTGAAGGGTTCGGACAGTAAGCACGAACGCCAGCTCACAAATTTCTTACAGCAAAACTGATGAACTCACAAGTGCAGTGATGTCGGGAATACTACCCGAACAAGACTCTGACACGTCAAGATGGAATATACCTCTGTGCGGTTCACGCACGATGAAGAATCGAGGGAGGAGGAGTATATCCTCACATATTGTTCGAAATGTACGTCCCCTACGCTTTGTCAACGTTTCGAATCGTTGATACTATAGAGGATCTAGGTAAAGAATGTGAGATATTCTTGCACACGTCTCCCCACGTCTGGGATGCTGCGAATGGAGGAATGTGAGGAATGGTACGAAATACGGGAAACGACACGCCCGCTATAATCTTTCACTAACGGAAATTACATACCCAGGCACACAGATGGTAGTGTCCTAAAGAAGACCCTGATGTGTAAAAGTGCCAATGCGTTTCGAGCGCGATGGATCTGGAATTGAGGGAGGAGTAGGGGGCTACCATTCTTTTTCTAAATGTATGTACGTCCGCGTGTTCCGCTGTGATCATTTGTTGTTGAGAAGCGTTAAATACTACATTTAGGAATAGATACGTGAGTTGCCCTTGGACAAAAACGATACTCTACGAATGGAGGAAGTTAGGTAGTGGTAGGTAGTATGATGCGCGCTGTGGCACGCTAGTATCTTCCACTGACAAAAGTTCTGGAAATTCAGAGGTACAAACTTGGCGGGGTCCTGAAGGGAACCATTACGTGTAGAACTGTCAGCTTTACCAAGGTTTTTCAAGCGAGATCCTGAAAATAGAATCGGGGGGTCGCAATGTTGCAAAATTATTGACTTTGAGGAACTTGCATCACGGCCGCCGCAATAAGTGGTGTATAAAAACTTCCAATAGTTGTAATACATATGAGACGTACGCCAGAAATATTTTCCGACACGATAGCGGTGATGGTGGAGTGTAAGGACAGCGTGAAAACCTCTGTAATTGCTGGGTGAACACAAATAGAACTAACACGTGTAAAGTCACGTGAAGGTTTGGTAGAGAGTCACGAGCACGCGAATGCGATCCGGTGGTGAGTTTTTCAATCTAACAGACTCCATTTCGGGCTGAAATTTATCCGCAAAGGTGCTCCATTGCATATGGGAGTGTCATATGCAACCAGGATCAGGGGGTAAGGTTGAAGAAAACGCGTTTCGGCGATGGCAGCGGAGGTTTTGCAATTTTTGCAACTAGGGATTTGGTCGAGGGGGAGATACTACACCCTCTCATGGGTCTAATGGCGTCCGATTCAAGGGCGGAACATTCTCGCCTGTCAGAGATCCACCCCCACCCAAGTCAAGTCAAGTCGGAAAAAGGCAGAATGGATCCACGGGTTCTTGTTGGACCGCTACGATTCATCAACCACGCTTGCCATTCTTTCAACGCCGAGGTGAATCAAATTTTTCGACCAGCTGGCATCCACTTACGACACCACACAGTTTGTTGCAATCCGGTCGACATTGGCATTTGTGGTGCAAACCAACAAACCCATCAAATTCCGCGAAGAAGTTTTTGTAGACTACGGCAAAGACTACTTTGAAGATATCGAGAAATGTACTATGCTGTTCAATGTGTACAAGTATTATTTGTTGCCGCGTAATTATTTCTGGGCTCCGCGTTTTTTTTCCGGTGACGCGTATTTTTCCATAGCGCTTCTTGATGCGTTTTATCTTGGTTGGACCCTGCTTCGGGCTTCCCGGAGGTCTGATCGACACTAGATACAGAGGACAAGAGCCAAACAAGAGCCGAGCACATCGTCGAAGTCAACGACGAGGCCTAGCCCATAACCATGGGCTGTGATGGCGCGATGGGTTTCCATGTCGTTCAGTTGTGCCTGTGTGCTCGGGCCATCTCTTCGAGTCTGTACCCCTCCCTGAGGTACCGGACGGGCCTGGCGTCACGTAAGCAATATGTAAGCGTACAAGTACATAACAAGAACTCCGAGTCCTTGTAACGTTGGCCAAGGTAGACAGCCATACTTGAAGTATGGCTGCCATTTCAAGATTACGAAGTCCATTTCATAAAGTTCATCCTTAGGACATAGATGCATGAAGCTCCGGTTTCATTTGAAGGAGGCTTGACTCGGATTCACGTACACACTGGTCATTCATCAGCGCTCGGCAATGCCCGATGAATGGTCAGGCTACTGATGCAGGATGTGAAAAAATACGCGGAGGTTGAGAAAAATACGCAGGGCGAAGAAAAATACGCGTCGACGGAAATGAAAATACGCGTCAACAAATAATACTTATACACATTGAACAGCATAACGGTCGACCGGTGGGGTTGAGTCGGGGAAAGTTCAAGAGTTTGTTATTATTTCGAGTGTTGGTGACTTCAATTTTTTTTTTTTTTTTTTTTTTTTTTTTTTTTTCAAAGTGACATCATTATTGAAAATTGCAACAACTGGGTCGCCAACTTAGGACTTCATAAAAGTAGGTATTCGTCCATCTTTCACTAGTGTCACAAACTTACGTTCAGTCGCTGTATTCCGTTTCAGGGTTGAATTAAGTCAATCGTCCTAGCACGTCTAATTTGACCTGTCCGTTTTTGTATCCAACTTACGTTGAGATAACAAACAACCTATATTGCAACTTGTACTCACTCACCAGATTCGTCAATACCCCTACTTTTGCAGCGCCTTATAACTAACACCTAGCCTCTTAAACTCCTGCCCTGCGGGCGTCGCGAGCCACTTGCCGTGTGCACTATAGCATAGCATCGAAAATTTAAACTGTTAACGAACCCACGTCAGTCGATGCTGTTTCCGACGCGACTTACACAAAGCTTCTGCGCGGCACTCCGTGCAGGGTGAATTCAATACAGCAGGGTTGATGAGGAGGTTCCAGTCACAATAAGCGACGGATTATGCACACTACTAACAATGCCAAACAACAATCTTAACCACTTCATTCTTCGTAGACAAGCGGCAGAGAAGAGCGCCAGCACTCAAGGCCTCTGCTCACCGCCATCGGCATCGTGACTTGGCTCCAATGGATGCAGTTCTTCTGCGGGTGCGTCATACCTAACCTCGACCAGCGCTTGAAGCTTTGAAGCTTTTTTTGAAGCTTGAAGTTGCATGTCCATCGATCTGACTTTTCTTTTAGATGGCTGGCTTGGACGTACCCGCTATCGACTTCTTCTCTGTATCCCTCAGCGTTACACACCTTCAAGATCAATTCAATAAGTTTACTCATGATATTGTGCGTTGTCTATCATCAATGGTCCAAAATAGTACTGACAATCATCGATAGATGACCGCAATTATCCCCACATTGTTGTTCCGACCGCTGGGAGCGGTACGTTTATCTCGCTTCTCTTGCTCACTCCAGCTCTTACCTCTTTTTCTCATTAGTCATTCGGCATTGTCTCAGATCGCTATCGCAGGAAGTGGCCCCTCGTTTGTAACCTCGCTTGTCGCCGTCCTCGAGCTCGGCGCTGGATTCGTGCAAAACTTCAAGCAATTCCTCGCGCTCCAATCCCTCTTCGGTGTTGGCATGGGTGGAATCTGGGGTCTACCAGCATCCACAGCTCTAGAAAACCTGCTCGTCGAACTTCGCGGCGTCGGTGGTGGTTTCCTACTTGGGTTACGTGGTTGGATACATCATCCCTGCTGTGATCAATCGAGGTGAAATCGGGCTGGCAAGCTGGGAACTACGTCTCAAGGAGCGAGACGCTCGTATTCTGGAGCAGGACGTTCAAATCCAGGATCTCACCAATCGTCTATCGGAATGTCGCAGTGCCATGGACGAAGAAGAGAACCGCGTGTTGGATGCGCGGAGGGTGGAAGGCGTATCAGGAGCAGTTGAGGATACAGGAGGAGAGGATGAGGATTGAGGAGGGGAGGTTGTATCGGCTCAGGGTGGATGAGTTGGAGGGGATGGTGAGAAAACGGGGGGAGGGGACGTCGATGAGTGAGGTTGGGATTCAGGTTGATGATTCACCGCAACAACCACAGGAAGAGCTCGACGAACGCGAGAAGGACATCGATTCCAGGGAGCAAGAATGTGCGCAGCGTGAGCTTGAAGTACGCGACCGGGGGAAGGGGGTTAAGGAGCACCAGAGGGGGTTAAGGAGCACCAGAGGGGGTTAAAGAGCGCGGGAGGGATGTTAGGGACAAGGAACGTGAATTCCAAGAGAGGGAGAAGGAGACGCGGGAGAAGGAAAGGGAGAGGAGAGGGGTGTTGGGAGACTGGATATGGGACGGTATACGCCTGCGTTGGATGAGGATGGGGAAAGGGAGTTGAACGAGCTGAAAGATGAGATGGATGGTCGGTTTCTTCTTTCTTTCTTTGTTTTGACGACGATGACTGATGTGGTAATAGTGCTGAAATTGTCAAGATTTAGGCAAACGATCTTGACACACGGCGTTCAAGTCCTACTTCTCAAGCTCCTCTCCGACCTGGAGACAAACTCGAGCGAAATGGGCCGAAGTCGTGTTCAACGACAGCTTAGCGAAATTCAGAAACAATTGGGGAGCGTGATGATCGCGGGAGTGGAGACGGATATGGAGAGGAGTGAGTACATGGAACGTTTGGAACGGCGAGGGGAGAGAGCACAAGTACCGCGGGGGGTGGGAAGAGGAAGATGAGGGCGGCGGAGAGCAAGGGCGATGGAGAGGAGGGAAGGAGGAGTGTGAAAAAGGCAAAGGGGGGTCAGTCGAGTTCGAGCTCGTTGAACCTGCCGTTTGGGGTTTGATTACCTGTTTGCATCGTTCCGTCACTGGCCCATCGTGTGTTAGAATAATGTAAGTAGGCCCTATCGCCATTGACGGGGAGAGTGGATGGGTATGGGACGGTAGCTGCGATGATCAACGCTGTGGTGGGTTCTCTACCTGGAGTTAAAGCCATAATTGAACAAAGCGGAAATATTGAGATCATTATACACACGAAGGTTACACCACACCCACAGCCTGTACTATTACCGAGGCAAAGGGTATTCTAAGCAGGGTATAATTAAAGAGGCTCCTCCCAATGACAAAAAAAAAAGTTAACTGTGCAATTGCGGCCTATCCAAATACCTGTTCCAATTCAGACGAGTAATAGTAGCCTAGAGATGACTGATGGTCTCCCAACTGCAAATGCCTACTGTCACTTGAGACAGTGTGCAATGTGTGATCTACGCAAAGGTACCTCCATAATTGTCGACACTTGTAAAATAATAAACCTGTTGTGCATCCCACAAACATTGATTAACAAAATCTCAAACTGGTGAACAATAAGAACATCAGCCATCTTGACTGGCCAATTTCATTATTTTATTCTTTCACATATTCTTCAGCTGAGTGGTGTTGCCATGGCTACCAAGACTATTTCACAAACACAAGGGGCAAATGGCTTTTGTCGCCAGGTAAAGAGGTAGCAAATAGTAAATAACTATGTTAAATCTTTTATTCCACATTTGTGACAAAAATGATCAGTTAAATAAAATTATAATTTTCTTGCTCATGATCTTTGTGGCAATGATGAATAAAAAGAAAATGTTGTTGCCACAGCAGGAAGATAAAGATAAACCCTGTTTTGCTATGGCAACAATGATGAGGCAACAATTTAATGTCAATGAAAGCTTGTTCTGACATGAGGAAACAGAAACAAAGAATTTACATATTTGCCAAGCAACGAGGTGATCTGGCCTGCATGGGAATGTCTAATTCCCTGGCAATTATATAATTTCTTTGTTCCCATTTCCTCATGTCAGAACGAGCTGTCAACGACATTAAATTGTTGCCTCATCATTGTTGCCACAGCAAAACAGGGTTTATCTTTATCTTCCTGCTGTGGCAACAACATTTTCTTTTTATTGGTCATTGCCACAAAGATCATAAGCAAGAAAATTATAATTTTATTTGACTGATCATTTTTGTCACAAATGTGGAATAAAAGATTTAACATAGTTATTTACTATTTGTTACCTCTTTACCTGGCGACAAAAGCTGTTTGCCCCTTGTGAAAGAAATTGTTTAAATATGCAAATTAAATGTGGTTGATGTTCTTATTGTTCTTCCTTTTGTAATTTTGAGAATTAATGTTTTCGGGATGCCCATTCGCTTCATTATTTTACAAGTGGCTATGATTAAGGAGGTACATATGTCCTGATTTGTCCTGAATATTTATTGGGCCCTGTCTCAAGTGTGTTAATACGAGTTGAGGTTGTTGACTCACAATATAACTGGCGTCGTCCTCCACTTCGACAGAGATATATTGGTTTGGATGTTGCGTGTAGTTTGAGAGTGCGTTGGTGTATTGTGCAATAGGCTACAGCAGGGAACAAAAAAAGAATTGTCACTAGGATCCGAGAAAATTCTTATCGCCAGCGTCGGGACGCGTGGATGGGGGGTAAAACAGTAACAATACTCACCGAGAATGGGGGGCTTGAAGTAGCACTTGAACCCGACAGGGTATTTGGCATTGGAAATGCGGGTGCATGCAGGCCAAATGACAAGCTTGGCCCAGGACCGTGATGATTGGTGTTGGAGGGAATATCACAGTGATAGTTCGAGGCTGATTGGGATGTTGTCAATGGTGGTGGTCGCAAAAGTGGTTCCGTCACATGGGGTGGAGTTTCACTTGGGACCTACACGTCGTTAAGTTTGAGCATTGAATAGTGGTAGGAGTGCGACTGTACGATGTATACCCCCTCCATAGCATGGCCCACCAGGGTATGGTCTTGGTCACAATACCGGCCATCTGGGTAGGTTGTCAATGAGTTCCAACTCATGCGGGCGGTTGGCGTCCCTCCGACCTCTGCGACCATCCTCCAGAGCTCTGCCCGTTCTTCTCGTAGCGTCAGAGCCATTTGGAGCATTGCGACAGTTTCTTCCAGCTGGGCGACGCTGGTTAAAACGCAGCGAGGTCGTGTGGTGAAAGGAGCTGTGTTCACGCTTACATATTCAATATACGCCTTACGTTTTTTTCGGTGTCTGGCTTGTGCTCGAGCATTACGGCTGCGCTGAGGGCGTTCAGAATTTGTCGTGTCACCAATAATAAACGACATGATGGGTTGCGAAGGTCAAATTCAGGGATAACGAAGTTGCCTACTTGCGAAGTCCTTGAATAAGAAACCTGGCGTTGATAGGAGCAGCTCACAGTGAGGAGATAAGTGGCCTCAAGAATGAGAGGCAGGCGTGAAAAGCGTTGTGGATCATCTGTAGAGTATGTCCATGTTATGTGAGCAGCTGGCCCAAACAATGCAAAATAGAGAAACACTTATATAGCAAATGACCTCGGATGAATGCGCTCCAGAGCATGTCGCGATCCAGAGATTAGCACTGCTCATTGTTCCCAGTGACCCGCCTTCACTTCGTGTCTTCTCGAGGTCAGTACTAGTACCAATGTCACTACATGCAAAATCAGACATGAACTTTTCACAAACTTTCCGTCATTCTTCGGTTAGGTTTTACTTCGCAGATTCTGTGTGCATGTGCCTTTCTTACTCTTTGCTCTAGCTCAACATTATCTTATTTAGAGAAACGGAGACTTCACTCGCCTCAGGAACGCTCATTCAATATTCAATATTCAACAACCTGCCTTGTTCTCGCCTTCACCCGCTCATGGGCACTCACCCTCGTCATACTTTCCACCGTCCCCATCCCCATGCTCATCCAAGGCATCTCCTCAGGCCTCGCTTCTCCTCCCCGCATCCGCGCGCCAACAATCCGCTATCGTTGCTACCATCATAGACCGTGCTATCTTCGCCATCTCCACCGTCCAGGCATTCAACGCGGCAACTCACGGCCATTCTCCCGCGGATGCAGCTATTCACCGCTCGGACAGAGCAACGGGAAAGCTTAGCCCAGTGTGGGGCGTTACGTCCGCGTTGGGACAATTCGTCACGATGGGCATGCTCATCCATGACTTCTGGCTCGGCTCTCAGCTCGTCAGAGAGGACAAGACTTCCACGGGGGACGTGATGGCGGTCATCTGGGCAGGTCTTATCGCAATAAGTAGCATGCAGACGTGCATTCCCCTAGTCATCATCCTCGCCAAAGGGAAATTCTCGATGGTCTCCCTCATCTCCCTCATCTCCCTTGCCACCTCCACACCGCAGTCCAGGACCCTCCGTGTCCTCAAGACGATCACTTCATCAAGGCGTTCTGGCAAATTGGCGCCCCACGACGTCACCTGTGCGTACCCATCCCGTCCTACCATCCCGGTCCTCTCCAACGTCTTCATCTTCCTCCCTGCGACCGAAAACACGTTCATCGTTGGCTCGCCCGGGTCCGGCAAATCCACCATCGCTCAGCTCCTTTTGGTGGCGTCCAACCCTCAGATCGGACACATCACCATCGACGGGCAAGATGTCCGGTTTTTGGACGACGGGTGGATGAAAGTCTACGGTGCAGGGGTGAGCCAGTTTGGTCGACGGGAACACTCTGTGGCGAAGGAAGAGGTGGAAGATGCATGTAATGCAGCTCTGATGTACGAGTTCGTGCGTGATCTGTTGAATGGGTATGATACCCTGCTTGGTGGGGGCGCTGGTGGTGGGCAGAAGCAGAGGCTGGCTATTGCCAGAGCTCGGCTAAGGAATCCCTGACATACGATGGGCTCATGCAGCACAAGGGTGTCTTTTCCTCCCTTGCCAGTGGAAGGGAGGTTGGGGAGTGGTAATTTTTCGATCTCTGCTGGATTGTTCTCCACCTTCACGGTTTATTATCTTCGTTTTCCTCGCCATTTTTTATTCATCTTCGCTCACACCTTCGTTATCCCCCTTTGGCATTATCCGCGGTTCATTTGCGATGAACCCAATTGCATTATTCCTTCCTTGGACAAGCCTACCTTATGCATATTACCCCAACTTCATTAGAATATAGTATGCAACGTACTTATGGAGTATAATGATTTTATGACGTGTACACACTGGCAGTGGAACCTTAGGACTATATACTGACTGGCATTGCAGGAGCTATGTGCTTGCCTTCAATCGTCCAACAACTTGGCATAAACCCTTTACTTTCCACGATACCGTGGAGTCAGGTAAGCACTGAATTCAATGTCGCCCTCCCTGTTATTCCATCAGAGAGAAAACGTGCTAAGAGTTAATGGGAAATATGTTGAAGAGCTCCATATCGGTTCTCCTGAATATGTTCGAGAACATTAAATACAACTCGGCCCACGCAAGGCTGGGTAAGTGCGACTCATCATGAGCAGAAAGTCATACTTTCACTAAATATTCCACGCACTTTATACCAAGGCAGCTACGGGGGTCTTTTGAGAACGACACTAAGTTCTCTTCCAATTCTGTGGTGTTCGGCTGTAACCACCTATCGGGGTCGAATGTTTGGGGATTGATAAAGACTTTGGGGTCATAGTGCATAAATGTCGCACCCATTGCAACAACGGTCTGTTGAATGTAAGTAATAGCCCACAAAAAAATGGAAACACACCCCGGCTGGAACGAAAATTCCAGCTATCGTGGTCTCCAAGGGGGCAACGCGAGGAGCCGGGCTCACAACCCCCTGCGAAAGGCGCAGTCACGACTCTTTGACAACAGCTGTCTAACAACCACGTTTCAAAAATCGCACAGTAAAATTGCCATAGAAGAACTCACAAGGTAAGGCAGTTTCTCGCGTTTTTGAGGCTCAAAGGACTATCAAAGTCAGGCCACGCAGCTCTCAATTCCGAAACCAAGTGTCTTTCAGTGCCCGATTGCTCAACAAGTGGACGGTCCCAATCATACATGCATTCCCCGCCGTATCAGTCCCAGCAGCCAACAGCATCGTAGACTCATCCTGAAGTGCCTTTTTGGACACTTTCACCTCGGCATCTGTCGCAAGCAGATGGTGGTAAATAGTGGGGTGCTCTTCGCTCTCCAACGTCGTAAGCTCGACCTCCACCCTTGCTCCACCCAGAAATTTCATCCTAACAAGACACGTTTCAGGATGTGAGCGCCCAATACAAAATGTCAGTTCAAAAATGACCCACAGGTGCGAATATACTCCTGGGACATGCGCGTTCGCAAGGGGGTGCCGGCATCGAAAAAAAAGACCTGGGGTCGATTTTTTTGTTAAGGCAACTTGAGGGGGACTAACTGACTAACGTAATCAGGCACGTGTCTATAAATAGCAATATGACATCATCTGCATTAGCGCTTCCCCCGCATCCTCTCCGAGATGCCACACAAGCCACGCAAACTGCCGTTTTCAGGGTTCGGATTGCTATGAGACTGTTGGAGCGTAGAAAGTAAGTTTCTGTTATCAATCCAAAGGTATTGATACCAATTTGATAGACTCACGGTGCATGCTGTCAAAGGCACCTCAAAGTCCATGGACTTTTGCACAGGAGCGAACATCCTGCATCCAGTCTTCCCCAACCTCGTCAGATGAGACATACTGTATATTTTTCAATACTGTTTGTGTTTTCAGTCCACAGCGAAGTAGTTTGCTAGTAATGAGGATGTGAGTGCGCAATATTGCGACCCAAATATGGCAGGAAACGAATAAATACCCTATATCACTCGTTTTTCTGCTGCTGCATGGCTTCTATTGGAGCTGTAGTCATCCTAGTACATTCTGTAGTTATCACAGGTACTCTTTTTGATGATATAAGGCCCTCTGCTCGAGGTGTCCATTTTTTTTTTTCGCAGCCTGTGGCTGGACTAACCAAGGGGGTTCAAGAATTAAAAAACAGTAGCCGGGGTCGAATTTTTTTGTAAAGGCCTCTGTGCTTGACCTACCTACCTACGTAATCAGGCACATTTCTATATATGGAAATATGACATCATCGATGCGATCGCTTTGATCCTCTACTTACCCTCCCCAGACACCTCACAGGCTTCGCATACCTAATTTCGTGGGGGTATCTCCAACGCAACACATTGTAGATGGTATTAAAGAAGGAACAGGTCATTTTCGGGAGAAAAATGAGAACAAGGTGGGTTGCTTCGCTTCTTTCTCTTCCTTCTGACGCTTTGCTTGCGCTTTCAAGCAGGTTTTCGTTCCACAGTGATTTTTCTTGAGATTGGCAAGTCCTATGGCCTCACAATGGATTCGCATTTTGCAATCGGGGCATACAGCATACCAATCGGCATCAAGAACAGGTTCCTAATCATCTCATTAGTAAGTTGTAGGTAATTTTTATTCAACATACCACTTCAGTTGCGTCGCATTCCATGTCGATATGTTGTTGAGACCTGTTTCAGAATTATACAAAGATTAGATAACAGTCAGCGTGAAATTTTCAGGCCGGAAATTGGCAGATATTATAAATCAATTCAATATACAACTATATTTTACATGCAGGAGCACTATTGGAGTAGTTTAAATCACTGTACAAGCCGATTGGGTACTATGTTATGGAGGGTTCCAAATTTTTTTTTTTGGGCCTGTGGCCGACCTACCTACCCAACCCCTGGTCCGGCATTCCAATCCCGGCACCCCCTTGGGACTAACTAACCAGACCCCGGTACGGGATTCCCGGGCCGGCACCCCCTTGCGCGTTCGTTACGGACGAAGGAAGAGGAGCAAGCCACCTCTCCGGGATCCATTGAAGCGAATGGTCGGAGCCCCATATTTCTGGGTTCCGATCGGTAGCGATTATCGATATAATGATGTTTGTGTTGTTCGGGACCTGAATTTCGCGCACGCCCTCTCCGTTGAGACCTCTTGAAGGTTTTGAGAGAGGCATAATGACGTCTTCAAGTTCGCGTGTCCTATTTTACATGAAGCGCCAGTTGAGCGCCAGTAGAGAAGTTCAACAACTGATTTTAGATAAAAGGAGGGAGAGTACATACGTTCTGGAGAAATAGGATACCAGAGGATAAAGGCGAAGAGTTTCCATGCATACAGCATCGAGAGGGAGTAAAACTACCGGCAGTTCGTCATAAGCAAGACTCCCAGTCCGATAGTACAGGCTTCTGTGATTTCATGACGCAACTTCTCTTGAATGTGTTGGTGTTGCGCTAGTAAATGCAGCGCGCGAGATATTGCGTTCGACGTCGCGTCTACTGCAACAGATGTCAAACCTCGTGTCAGACAGAGTGGAGTCAGGTCATTCAAACGGGGGGCAAAGATGAGGGATATGCGCGCGACTTGCACAACAAGTTCAGACTCGTCAAGTTTATTCTCCTCTGATGCGTCCATATTGGCTCTCACTACCATGGAATCAGTCAAAGGATTTCGCAGGTGGAAAAAATTTAGTGTACTTAGAATGCTCAATATATCCTTTCCTTCCCCGACCCGATTTGCAACAGCTTCATCCCCGTCCAACAACGCCCTTTCCTTTGACTCGAAAATATTCAAGGAGGTGTTGTAAATCGTATCAACGATGTCGCGCACGACATGCAAGCTCTCCCATGAAAGGAGATCGACGGTGAAGCGGCGTAATTTTGGGGATTCCAACATTGGCTAACTGCCACAAATACGAACGGATGGTGGGTTGCAGAAGAACGGGACTATAGCGATCATACGTTTAATCAGCCACGGAAAAGAACGTGTAGGTAACTTACACCACTGTTCACCAAGGACCAATTCATCGCCGAGTCTTCCTGCCGCTGCGGTTGTGCTGCCCCTGTGGACATATTGGTTCCTCGTTGGAAAGACGCGCTAGGACGATGGGAACAAGCGCTTGACTTAGTTCAACCTTGCAACGGAATAAGGCGGTTGAGCGTAAGTTTGTGACGCTAGTGAAAGATGGACGAATACCCGTCATAAGTAAAATGGCGTATATACATAACGCCCAGCGTTCTACGAGCATCTTCCTCATATCCTTGATGAACTTCTTCGTCTGTGTTGATATGCCAGGCATGGTTGAACCATTTGCAAACGTAAGATCAAACGCACTGATAACAGCTAGCACATCTCCTTGAAAATCGCTTTCGGTAAGCCTTGCCCGGCGGTGAAACGCGCGTGCCCATTTTGAATTAAGGTGTTTGACGACGGACCTCAAGTGGAAGAGGGAATATGTAATGGATCTGGAAACACACATTCAACATTTGTCCCGATAACCAATGTTTCACCTACATTTGGAGATCCAAAACATCCTGGTATCGTTTTCTGGCCAGCGCCCACGGAGTGAAGACTCCAAAAACATGAGCAATTGCCTCAAGGATCGAAGGCGAAAAAGAATCCCCATGTCATAAGAAACGTTAGCTTTAAGCGCAGCAGGACCTTTTAGCTTGAAACGAACGGCCAAAAGGCTTTTGATAATTTCCCGCACCTCGCTCTCATTTTTCGAGTGCGCGAAATAAACGATCGAGCAATAGATAATAATCGGATCTCAGAGGTCGTAGTGGCTCATGAACTCTTTGGTACCGTTGACTGGTTGTTGCTGCATAGAAAAATGCTGTATCAAACGAGAGCATTGAGAAGGTTGCCATTAATATAAAACAATGAAGGTTACCGGTGCAGCCACAGGGCCAACCGCTACCAGAACGAATCGTTGGTACAATATCATCAGTCAAGGTAATCCTCCACGCTCGGCCATAAAGACGCACCCAAGCAACAGAAATGCCCGATCTTGGAGATCCTGGATTTGAAATATGGATAACTAACAAGCAGTGGCAATAGACAGGGACCGCCGCAGGATGGATCGGACAATTGAGTTTGACAGAGAAGAAAATGGGGAATGCCACGGCGCACACCGTTGCGAGGCCGTATGCGTTACCTGGTTCGGAGCCGCAGCAAAAGTCGCTGTGAGTAGAGCGATGAGACTGTATGTCGTATCGTATGCTCTATACTTTGTGAGTGAGAGCCGAGAAACGAGTAGAGGTCGCGCGCATTGCTCAAACCGAGCGGTTTTCTAAACGCAAAGAGGAATCAAAAAATAAAACGCCCAACAAAGAACAACCCTCACTTAACGCAAAAGTCGCAGACAGACGACGTCAAAAATGATGGAAGACAAAGTATAACTAACGCCAACATCAGGAATTCTCAAAAACAAAAGTAACTTACTAACGAGAAGGCGCACCGGTAAACAATCCAGCTTTAATCGCATAGAAATACAATTCCGACACCACTCCAGCACATTTCTCGGCGGCAGCGCAACAGGGTCATGCCGTCTAGCGATCCCAAGATCTCCATGCATAGGCTGCGCACCCGGCACGACACCTACCACAACCCACCCATTGGTAAGCATGCACGAAAATGGATAGAAGATATACTGATTTGGGTTGACATCCGATCCTGATGTCCATACTCGGACATATCTCAAGGCCGCCACAGCCTCAGCGTGTGTATGGTGTCCAAAGTTCATTTTCCATGCATGAGAACTCCCGTTTAATCGCTTCGTCCACCTTTATATCTTGAATGTTAGCGCAGACACGTTGGAGGAGGAGGGAGCGGGCAAACCAACTCGACAACGATAGCTCCCATTTGGGTGAGATGGTGTTGGTACACATAACAAGTGAAGAGATACCGATGGGGTTGGTGTTTCCTCTCATTGAAGACGGGGAGATACGAGTCGAGAGCAACATGTCTGATAAAGACTGTCAAGAGAACTCGCCTAAGAGAGCTATAGGGGACATACCGGCGCCCCGCTCGAAACTCTTCCAACGCAACAAACACCCTCTCCCGCAACTCCTTCAACTTCTCCAACTTCGCCTGTCACTCCACGTTCCCCGCTTTCTTCTTCCCATAGAAACCAAACCGCCCCTCCCTCACGCCCACAAACTATTCCCCCAATCCTTTCAACCCTTCGCTGCTTACTTCAAGAAAATTATCACAGCTAGACTCAATGTCAGCGTCACTCGCTTAAACCTACAGACCACCTACCTCTCGCTCAACAACTCCGTCGTCTGCCGTGCAAGCCTCAGAGTTCGGGCCATGCAGCCGCATAGTCTCAATATCTGAATGGCGATGCGAGACCCTGTATGCAATTTCTGCTGTTACTGCGCATGCTGCTCCCCCAAACTCCTCACCTGTCAACTCGCCCACCATGATGAAACTAAGAGACCATGGCGTTAGGTTCTCCGCAACCATCAGAATGTATCGCCCTATAAACATCACAACCAATGCTACGCGTTGTAATATCAAAGATGGAACGTACCTTCATCTCCACCAATCGTACAATCCAACTTTCTCTCCCTCATCTCTGTCGAACCGACGTTCTAACAATGTATCAAAGTTAGCTCCTTCTCAAAGACCAACGCAAACTCACGTTTAACGCCTCGCCCTTCTGTTGCATTAAACCCGCGCAAAGCGCCAGGAAGCTTGCTGTTGTCTTGCCTTTTGAGCCTGCCCGCTTCATGGTCTTGCAGTCTCAAGAATAGTGAGACTTGCAGATGGAACGAGCAATCCAGACCGCGTTATGGTCTGTGCACTGCATGTATGTGTTGATCCGCGTCGTATTCATGTGAGTCCCGAAAAAACGTATACTGCAAATTGTACATGGTAGTCGTCTTGATCAAGTCTTGATCAGAGAAGAACAATCTTACATCATCACGGCAGCAGCGGCCCGGTTTCCTTCCTTCCCCTCCAGCACTCCAGACAAGCAATGGGCGAGTTTTATCCGGGACGGCGTGGGACGCGCTAAAGACACGTTCCAGTTTCAGAAAGACTACAACCGACCAGCGCACATCCAATCAGCCTCCGTCCTCACTCTCTTCGGAGCATTAACCATAGACTTAGTACTCGAGTGATGTTGGAGTTGTGTGAGAAGTTTGTCAAACGTGGGCTGAAGGTGAGTCCGTGCTACTTCTCTAGTCCAGTCCTGATTTATAGCTGGATTTCAATGTTGGAGTCATCATCAAAATATCCTCCGTATGTTAGAACTGAAGCTCGCAGCATGTGTGCTCGCCGCAGCGTTCTGTCACAGCGCTAGCGTTCGTTGTGACATGCACAGATTTTAATGAGGGGGGGGGATGTAGGAGGGCATTCAACCGATGGAGGTTTTCGTGAAGGCATGCAGCTGGTAAAAGGAGGGTGGAAGTTGACTGTGAAGGCGAAGACTTCGGATGAGGACGTTTGAACTTTGTATGCGCATCTTCAGAACGGGGGTGAAGAGGATCCGGACGTGAGTGTTTTTCTCCCTCTTTCGTTGCTAGTAATTATAATAACCCATTTGCGTTAGCTCATTATAACCAACGCGTCTGAACCGCCGTGGCCAACGCAAAGCAGTATAACAAACGTACCGGACACCAACGTCAAGACTGATTTGTCCTGAAATGCCGGCTCTACTCTTCTCCAGCTGTTCTTCCTCATGAGCGATGCGGTTGGTTTTTTCAAACGTATGGACGATCGTTGCACTTACAGCTTGCCTGTTCAATCTAACTTAGCGGAATCACCCGTTCACGTCTGTATGTATCGCACCTGAGATATGAGCTGCATACTCATTATAACTTGTGGCATACGAATCTCGCATGTAAATAATACTCTCGCATTCAAATTGTGCGCAAGACTCAAATCATGTGCATACGAAGCAGGAGGATATACCAACAGCATCACACTCCCCGAAAGGAGAAGAGGAAGATCTACAACCGATCTACAACACTGTGTCGTAGATGAGGCTCAGCTGCGACACACTCCACACACTGACTTTACAGCGTGACGATGGGCCATGCGTCACCCATCACATGTCACACTTTCCTCCTTTCCTCATCACCCCCACCATCGTCGACCATCCCCTCGCGTCACCCCACATCCAGCACACCCTATCTCAGTAGGCACGACAATGGCACATAGCGTGTAGGGAAAGGGATGCACCCAGGTGAGTACCCCTGCCAGCTTATCCAGCTAATCGACTACCACATCACCAGGTCAGTGAGCGCCACCCAGGACCGTGAACGCCATGAAAACGGCCTTGATGCATCGCCAAACGCCGTGAGTATCCAACACCTGTCCGTCGACGGACAACAGACGCGAACACGAACGCAAACGGACGCCAAAAACTGCGAAAACCATCCCGAACACCAAAACGATCAACACGTCGGCCAAGACACCCGCGAATGTGGGCAGCCCACCCCACCTCTAAAATTGCCCCTCCCCTTGTCGTTGTCGAGGGATGTGGGTGTACAGAAAACCTCGAAGCAGGAACACAGAGCCAACGCGAAGACCGCTCGCAGCTCCACCATCGACCCACGATACGGGAACATCGACGGCTAGACACACCCACAAACCAGCCCACCACAAACGACAGGGGAATTATAGATGGCGAGGATCGGGTGGGAACTCAGTAGCATATGCGCGTTCACCGTGGAAGTAGGGGTCTCCAACCACTCTCGAGGAGTGGCTACGTCCTCCATCATCACCGCTCTCATAATGTACATACTAGTGTCCTTTCCTGTATCATAGCTTGCTCTATATAAATTTTACACTGCTCATTCCTTGAGTACAGAAAGTGTTCGAGAACTTAGTAAATACTCCTATACATCATAGGACTTGATTCTTTCTGACTTAGAATAAAATTTGAACCAGAAGGTCCACATCTAGGTGTCTCACAGGTATACTTGTTGACACATTACACATGAATTAGCAACACATTACACATGAGTTAGCGACACATTACACATGAGTTAGCGACGCACTACACTCGAATATGTCGTTTATTTACGCAATGTGTCGCTTACTGATGCAATGTGTCGCTGTCCCGATTTGGGGAGTGTGACGATGTTGGTACGCCCTGCGAAGCAGCCAGAAGCACCTGTTTGATGGCAACCGCTACTCGAGTCTTAGAATGATGTTTCCACGCAATCGCGCCCACCAATAGGAACATTCATCACCGCACCGAAAGAGTTCCAGTTCCAGTTGTTGCAGTCTAAATCTTCTCTTAGCTCTCAAACTGTTATTATAAAGCCAGGGCCCCTAGTTCAATGCAAATACACTCTATTTCCTTACTTGAATCTATTCACCAGAAATGGAGATAGTCATTAGCTACAAAACTACTGCGGAGGGGTGCCTTGCATTGGGAAGTAGCTTGCTCTGGAAGAGAATGCTGCCTGAGCATTGTCTGGGAATGGTAGTGTTTGAAAGTCCGGTTAGGTTAGGTTATTGGGTGCCCAGGGGCTCTAACCGAGACCGAGACCGGTTAGGGTTCGTTCCCAGACCCAAAATAACCTAACTGGACCGAAGATAACTGATGAAAACCGGTTAGTTGCAGTTACTAACCGGTTAGGACCGAAAAAATAGAAAATCGATTAAAACAGCGTATATTTCTCATATTCCTTGCAGTAAACATTATTGCCATGCGTCGTAGCTTTAAAACAAGCCCAAGAACGCTAAATTCGGTGAAGAATTGACAATTTTATAATAATATTCTTGAAAGCCTACTATTTTAGCTAATAATTTAGAGATTTGACCATAACTCTGTCAGATTTTTAGTGTTTCTCATGCTTTTAGATGCGTTTTGAAGGGGTATAATAGGGTCGGTTGTAACCGGTCATAACCGGTTTTTTAACGGTTAGTTAACCGCAAAATAACCGGTTATTTCATTTCCAGAATTGACTAACCACTAACCGCGGTCCGGTTTTTTTGCGGTTAGGTCCGGTCTGGTCTCGGTTATTTTCCAGTTAATTAACCTAACTTCCAAGCACTAGGGAATGGTGTGGTGCCACTGTGTCCAGCTTTCTTTGCATCACCTATGGTTCGGTGCCCAGTCTCTGAGGATTGGTAAAGCGTTGCTTCATTAAAAAAAACAAAGCTCCCTCTGCCATTGCCCTGCAAAGGAGTTGAGTTTTCCCGAGTAGGCTGAACTCCAGCGGGAGCAGAGACGAAATCAATATCTTGAAAGGCACATTAGATAGAAACTCAAAGGCTGTCATGATGAAAAAGCACCGTCAACATCGATATTAAAGTGGTACAGGAGTGAGGATGGATATGCCAAAAAGACCCATGGAGGGAGCTCAATGACAACTCCAGCCTCCCAGAGAACCAGCCAGGTTTTTCGAGTGTGGTCAAAGCCACTTCCTGCAGTGGGGTGTGGTCAGAGTTAGGAAAAGGAGAAAGAGATGGAAAACAGACCAGGGAGAACGTACACCATGAGAAGGCAGACACCAACAATATTTTTGCTATCTGCATGAGGGCGACAGTGTACCCTGTCCTGGCCCGGAAACATACCATTCACGCAGAGGTTCCAGAAGCACCCAAACAGGGGCTTGGCATTTGGGTATCTCTGCTCATGCCACTCGGCACACCGGCGGAATCTTTCTGCGACGCCAGGGAAGAATAGCATCACAAACTGCTCTGCAAATCGTCTGTGCAGAGTCAGTTCAGCCCTTGGAAAAGCACAAAATTCCTCACATTATTCTCTGGATAATGGGCTGTGAAATAAATTTGTTTACGCGGTCCATATTCTGCTTGTGGAAGCCAGTGAGATCAGGTTCCTAGTGGAGGTGCGGTTTAGACACATCAGAAAGAGCAGACCTGCTATACCGCCACCTTAGAATACTGCCGATAGTGGCCTATGATGCAGGCAATGTGTGGGCCTCTAGCATTGTGAGCGTGCTTTCGGCAAACGGATTCGTTTGATGCCAATGGGTGGAGCAAGTCTTTGATTGCGGCACTGAGTTCATTGCAAGAGTCTCTTAGCCAGGGCAGTGCTGAGGAGCGGCATGCGAATATCCGGCCCTCGCAGTTGGCAAGGAAGGTTGGCTTTTGAAGAGACCTTAAGCCCTCATTGGATTAAATTAAAGTCAAAGGAATTCTCTGCAAAAGACGTACTCCTCATAGCGGACAGGGTAAAACTTGGCCACCATATCTTTGATTGCACCACTATCGTAGGCTGCTTCAATTTTTTCACAGTCACTTAGTGTGGGTGTGGCACCCTGCCATCCTGTTGAGGAAGCAGATCCGTCTTCAACTATTGAATACGAGCCGTTCAAAACAGTCAGACCGGCTTTTTGGAGCTTTTGACTGAGCCTTTCAAGTTTTCGGGCCGGATTACCTGCACGCTTGTGGTTATTTTTTGAGGAGGCTCCTCTGCGGTCAGTGCGTGGCTTTTTCTCAGAACCCCCCTGTATGAGCTCCCCATCCTCTGGAGCTGCATCACTGGTGTGATTTAAAGCGACGTCTGCCTTGCGTTTTGAACCAGTTGCATTGGGCTCGGGTACGACCTGGACTTGCTGGAGCCTGGAAGGTAGGGCTAGAGTGTGAGTTTTTTTACCCACAGAGATTTGCACTGGCACCCACAGCCAGCTGATAGCTTTTTCAGTTGGGTCCCTATCGAATGCGGTGATGTCACTGTCAAATGACAGATCTGGTACCAGGCACACGTTCTCTTTAGCTGCCAAGTCGCGATACCTTTTGTCGAGAGAGCGAAGGCTGTACGGACATGTGACCGCGTTTGGGCGGTTCGAAGAGGCGGGGGGCTCTGCTTACTGCATCATGTGGCAAGAAGGGGCTCAGGCTGGCGCAAAGTGGAGAGGATCTTTGCACAACGGATTTTTTAAAACATATTTGGTCATGTTTGAACAGGATCCGAGATGTCACACTCAACCTATTTTCGGATGCGGCATAATTGAAAAATGTGGCAGACAGTGCGAAGGCTGTAGCTGGCGAGGTGTGCCATCTCTTGTAGATGACGATCCCAACTACCTTACATTCTCAATTGCAGCACGGCCAAAGAACGCGCAAGTGGGCGGGGTACGTTTTGGGGTTTTGAGCATTCAACCAACTCGAACTTCTGATAAATGGCATTCCAAGTCCTGCGCAAAGCGATTCTAACGAAGGAACAACTCAAATTCTTTCAAACTTCGAAGACACACCAAGAACTCGTCTCATATATTGGGGTCCTCGTCGTCGGCCTCAGACTAACCGACGGATGCCATTCGTTGCCTACTGGCGCAGCTGCTGGTCTCGTCCTTTTGGACAGTGTTGAGCGGGTGGCGAGGGATACGCCTCCTGTGGAGAACTTCGAGTCGAGGTTTGGGAATCTGGCTTTTCGGATGTTTTATGATTGTGTCTCTGAGGTGCGTCTGTGTATCCTAGAGTTGGATTGAAGTATTCACCAACCATCGTTCATAGATTTCACCGGAGTTACACACATCGCTCCCTGGTTTGCCGAGTGAAGCTATCGAGGAACTGTCGGTCTGTTTCAGCGAGGCATGGGGCAATCGCATGCGTATCGATTTCGGGAGTGGGATGGAACTCAATTTCCTGTGCTGGCTGTAAGTTTCGGACTTCTTCCCCCTTTGTGATCGCTCAAGGCGTCATATACTCAGCTTATGTTTAGAATGGCTACAGGTCTTACGAAAAACGGACCACAGAGCGATCATTATTCGTTTATTCTGGAGGTGACTCACCTTTCTCATACTTCAGTCCGAACAGGACTGACCCGCTGGCAGATACATAAATACCATGCGGATACTCCAATCAACCTACTGGCTAGAACCGGCTGGCTCGCATGGCGTCTGGGGGCTGGACGACTGCCACTCTCCCCCGTTTCTCTTTGGTTCCGCTCAACTACGAGCTGGGCAACGCCATCGCCTCTTCCCCAACCCCAATGCCGATCCGTGGCACATCAGGGCATAAGTACACCCGTCCCAAGGCGATACACTACCCCGAGATGGTGGTGGAATACTTAAAAGACTACATGTATTTCACTTGTATCGCTTTCATTAACTCGGCGCGTCTTTCCCCCCTCTTCATTGAGCGCTGTTGACATCGACACACTCTCACTCACACAGATAAAGACAGCCTCCCTCCGATGGCATTCCCCCATGCTCAACGACATATCAGCCATGCGCCTCCTTCCTCCTTTCCCTCCTGGTCATTTCTCCTTCATTTCGCAGGTAAAAACATCAACTGAGGCATGCTCAAAATGTACCTTGCCGAAGTTCTCAACAAGCTCCCCTTACGGCGGGCCTCTACCGCCTCCGCCTGCTACATCTCTTCCATCCACGCTTTCCACGCCCTCGAAACCCGTGATATCACAGACAGTGCATGGGGACCACGTGCACGCGCATGATGACCTTGGAGGGGCTGGCCAGAAGGACGTTGGCTGGGGCGACTGCTGCGGGATCCCCGGTCTGTATTTGCTGTGGCTAGGTCGGAGGCGGAGAAGAAGCATGGGTTGAAGTTGGGTGAGGCGGGGGTGCCGGGTGTGAGGCCCTTTCCATTTGATTAGTCGACGATGGGGTTACGGGGTCATGATGCGACAGGCGGTAGCGGACCACATATGCTTGCTTCTATAGCTATAGTCTTAACATGAAACTATTTATCACGACGTTTTGGTGTCAGAGGGACGAGAGATGTAAGGGAAAAGAGTGTGCGAAGTCCTGATGCGAATGACTGGATGACAGAGAGGGGGAAGGGGGGTGAGATCCCACTGCGTGAGATGATACCAGTTGTCAGGTCCGATGGAGGGTAAGCTATGAATAAAGAAACGGTTCGCGAGGGCTCAAAATACCAATGAGGAGAGTCAGTTGAGGAAAAGACACAGAGGGGGTAACACTGGGCACCAAGCATGAGCAAAATAGAAGGCAGAGCATCCAGAGGTCACTGACTCCCAACGCACATTCGCTCAATCGTGCCTGACTGAGCAAAATCCTATTGATCGCGGCGTTGGTAGTCGACTTGCGAGAAGTCAGGTCCATGTCGAACTGTTCCTCAAGCTGGCGCCGCATCTCGCGCTTCGTCACGGAATTGAGGTCCGCAGATCGCATGATCTCTTGGACGGACCGCTCGAGCTCGAAGTCACTTGGTGCGCCACCGGCAGCAGGCGCACCACCACCGCCCAGGTTGGGTAACAGATATCTGGGGTGTGTGTCGTGGGTATTGGCATATCGAAGCAGTTGGTGGCAGGGCGTGGCGGGGCAGGCTGGTGGAAGTGCCCGATGTCGCCCATTGGTCGGAACTGGGACTGCGGGGTATTGCGACCTGACTGGTATCCTGGAGGTGGGCACATGCCGAGCTGGGATGGGGCTGGAAGCTGCGTCTTTGAGGCTCGTAGTAGGTTTCTCGGCCGTATAACGAAGCAGTGCGCGAATCTGCGTAAGCTTCCTTTGGTTTGGCTTGAGGGACCCAGGATCCGATACTGCGATTCGATTCCTTGTCCCAGGATTCATTCTCCTGATGAAGGATGTTAGCGAACAAAGAAAGAAGGTTGCAGCCAAAACTCACGCAGTCATTCCGCAGTTTGACAGGAATAGACTGAGGATCGAACTTCCCTTCGTCCTAGTTGATAACGGAGTTAGCGTCGTGTACTCTCAAAAAGAGAGATGAAAGCCTACGTGAGCGGTCGTCTTCTTGCCAGATTCACCAAGGACAGCGCGTGTTTGACCCCAAGAGAAATCGTCCACCCTCCAGAGCGAGTATAGAGGCAAGAAGGAGGAGAGGGCGGGAATGGCAGGCGTGTAGAACAACATCCATCCAATCATGTCCCGCTTCTGTCGCATGGCGAAAGCCAGGGCTTGAATGCCGTATATCGCGGCGACCATGATGAGCGATAGAGCGGGGATGGATTTGCCCCCACCGGCCACCAGTCCGATCAAGTACGCGATCTTGGGAGGTAATTAGATGCCTGGTCAAATGAAAGGGCAAAACTTACATATGCAACAGCGACAGGCTGCATGGGCGTCGAAACCAAATCAATCATAGCAATGAAACGCATCGAGAAGCAGCAGAAACCACAAAGCTGCTCCAAGAAGATGAGTTCCCTGAGGCTGTGAGCGGTCGAGCTGATCCAGCGGCGGCGTTGAGACAGCAAAACCCTCCAGTCATCAGGAGCCACGGTGTACGCATGGGCATCCCGGATAAACTGGGTTTTGAAGAGCGGGAAGTGCTTGAAGAGCAACGTGGTGAGGTATCGATGTTCGCCAAGATGCAGGAGGTTCTTCATATGCAGTGTGTCGACACTATTCTCCGAGTAGTCGCGGATAAGTTGGTTGGAGATGAGTAGCGGCCTGTGGGTGTCGGACGTTCTGATGCGGTAAAGGGTGAAGCAACCGGGCAAACAGGTGACGGATCCGAAAAGACTCTCGAAAGCCTTTGCCATGTGATGGGAGATAAAACACTCATATACTTTTAAAGAGGCTGTAAGGGGGCTAGATGATCAACTAGAAGCTTCAAACTTACCTGCATCATCGCAACGAGAGATTGCTTTGCGTCGGCCAGGTCAGTTTCGCCGCAAACACCGAGCAGCTTCTTGTCACGAATCATCCCACTGCGGTAGCTTAAGCCGACGAAGATATCGACAAAGGAAACGGACATACGCAGAGATGTGGCGATTGACAGAGAACGGGTCCACAGTCGCATCAGCGTCCGCCATGAACGAGTATTCATAGAAAGACGGGCTGACGCCGATGAAGTTCTTGATCTGGTGTTACATTTCGAGCTCGAGCGGATTCACCAGAGAGTTGAAATGGACCTGTTGATTCGGCGTCAGCGAAAGAATGTAGCGTGAAAGAAACCACGAACCTTGTTCAAGGAATGCATTCGAAGCATCTGGGAGTCTCGTTTACCACGACTGCCAGGACGGCTGCGCTCCGCCGACTTGCCAACCTTCGCAATGACCAAGTACGGCGCGACATGGCCTGCGCACTCATACAAGCCGGAGTAGACCTTGCCCGTGTTGTGCTGCTTGACTCCTTCACCGAGGGACGTGAAACTGAGAGGCTCGGGATCCAAATTCGGATCAGCTCCCAGAATATCGAGGACAATGCGCAGGGTTGGGCGATCGTTACCGGAAACAGCAATCGTTCAATGGCAAATGGCGGGGGGCAACTTGCGCCTGTCGCCATACTGCATCTGAGCGAGGGAGTCGAAGGTCTTGCGCAGGGAAGTATCGCCTTCGGTGTAGCGCGGCACCCCCAAGTCTTGAAGGAGCAGATTGCAGAGCTAACAGGTAAAGGGGGCGCTGTCAGCGCGATACAGCGACAAGAGTTCTGGCCGATCACTTACAGCTCGACTGACCGCTGCCCAGAAGGCGACAGGCCCGCGTGAGGCCAAAGGGAGGAGCTGCTGCATGCTTTTGCTTGGTGGAGGGTTGAGAGACCGGGTCGTGTAAGCTACTGGCGGTTGGTAAGAATGCAGGGAAAGCTTCGATGCGGCAAACTCACCCGTAGGAGTTCATCAAACAGGACGGCCACCTAGCGGTCTCTGGACAGTGCCCTGCCCCTCGACTGCGCTACTTTAGGGCGCCAGGTGAGCTCAGGTCAGAGCTCTCAGAGGGCAGGCGTCAGCCGGGTCGCTCAGCAGATCTCCGCTCGGCGAGCCACGCCAAAGCCTGGCTACTGAGGCCTGAGGGAAGAGCATTGTTGTTCAACCATGGTGGGAAAAATCACGCTATTACAAACTCAAGAACGGTCACGTGCCTTCACTCGGAAGGTACTAACAATAACATTGAGCACAGCATTTCCCCCCTTACGACGCATTGGAAAATCTTTGCCAACTCTATACCCCTCGACGGCCGGTTGACGGCCCCAGAGTGCCTCTGCATCGAGCCTTCAATCCGTCGCGGTGTCTCGCGATAGTTTTCGGTGAGAAGTTGGCGTTAGTTTTTGGGGTATCAGCTCCGAAACCAGTAGACACCTTAGTTGAACAAGTTTCTCAACAGAACTACGAAGTATACCCCCCATTCAACGCTTTGTAAAATGAACGATTCCCGTTCAGGCTGAGAAACCGACTTTGGCCTGGCTGGATTTCGCTTTTGACCTTTGGAGCCCCGCCATCAGCCTGTGGCTTAGGTTTAGGCCAGCGAAGCGACCACCTTCCAAATCACCTCTGGCACGTCATCCTCACACTTGAAGGAGAGCTCCTATAGGCGTACGCCTATTCCTACTGGTGTGATGCCTACAGGCCACCGCTCAGACATCTGGTCCTTCCTTTAACAAAAGAAAACACATTTTCTGGGCAACTTGAAGTCGCGATTTTGCCTACGCAGAGCTCATTTAGCCTCCTGTTGAACGACGAGGCAAGTTGGTTTGTATCTCTCGCACCTCAGATGTCACATCTGCTTTACAAGGAGAAAGTATTCCCGCCTTTCAGAATCATGCAAAACCGCTACAATTAATATGCCGCCGCGTCCATGCCTCTCGGACACCTGATCACTTCTGGTTTATCAAGACGAGGTCTCGACCCGCCTTCCGTCCCCGAAAAAATACTCGACACCAGCATCCTGGAACAATCTTTCCACCTAATCACGGTGCTGATGTCTGGCGCCAGACTTTCCCCATGCAGAAATTGATAAATTTGCGTGTATAAAGATGAGTTGGCGTTCATTTTATCAATTCGCTTCTGTATAGATCTAATTCCAGGCCTTCTAGGCAATCTCTTAAACCAATGCAGCGTAGATGTGTGAAGTTTGCGAAAGCTAGTGCACGGAGAAGGGAAATTACCTTTTATTTCTGATACTTCTACTTATGACACCCCGAAGACGGCTGTTGTGCGGTGCGCCCTTGTCATGCTATATCCAAATTGCTCGAACATGCAAACCAAAGGTTATACATTGCATTTGTCATGCTGAGGAGAAGGCCTCGACACCATGCGCAAAGGAAAGCGCTCAACACTAGAATTCAGGAACAACCTCTCCAACCCAAATTGCAACTCTGATATCCGGCGTCAGCCTTTCGCTGTACAGGACATATACTTAGGCGTTCAATACGGTGGGCGTTCAACTAAATTTGTATCTTTCACACGGTCATCAGTACTGCAGGATCCAAACTTCTCAGATACCTGATTCTCGGAATGCATGTGTCACCTCACCAGTCAGAAAGAGACTCTGTACCCGATGAAAGCAGTCAACGCCAAAATCTGATATCCCATCTGAGGTTTTCGCCATCTATGCGCCATACCTACGCTCCTAATACGCTAGGTATGTCAAATTATATCCCAACTCCACTGTCAGATTCAACTATTCATGCGCTCCACAGCGGTTGTGATTCAAACTTTCGCACCCCACAATAATTTCCAGGTACCAGCCGGATACTTCCAAGCAGAGATCTTCTCCCCGTCCATCGAAACACGAGGTTTCCAAACACCCCTCCGCTGGTACCGATGCGGAACCGGCCATTCAGCCTCTCCGCGGCGCCACCACCGCATCGACACTTGAGCAGGCGCCAACTCATTCATCTTGAGACGAGTTTGGCGGCACCGGAGGGGCCTTCACGACATCTTCGTACACCTTATCAGCGAACATTCGATAGCCACGGAGGCAATGGCGTCTGATGTCGCGGACGAGTGCAACATTATTCCGTAAATAGTTTCCCAAGGCCATCCAATTTGACGCCTTCCCTTAAGTAGTAGATATTTGTGTGTTTTCAGAGCTCAGGCTAAAACATACGTTGACCAATTTCGGGTTGAAATTCTGCGAGAGATATCTTCAGCTTAAGCCTCCAAAGACAGCAGCAATGTGTGTACCGCTGTGGTGTGGTTTTATCGGAGTATTCCATTCCGCTTTTCCGCCACTCTTACAAATAACATTGACGACGCAACATACCACAACGCTTCGAGCTATCATACCCCAGTTGACTTCTGCATTATCTGATAGACGATATTCTATGCCATTCCACAGCCTATTGAAATAAAGAACGTGCTTAGCATTACATCAAACATACCCAATATATCAGTTGACTTACAGCAGGTGGCTTGGAAGAGATATCACGAGTAACAAGGTTGATTCCGGCAACCTCATTGGTAATCCGCGATGAGATTCTTCGGGGAACATCAGCAGGGAAAACAAACCTGCATCCAAGGGTAATAACAAGTAAAAAAGTGAGCGGCGCTCCCCAATAACAAAAGAGAATAATACGCACCAATCCGCTGTCATGAGATCCTCGGATTGGACCGCGCTCAATAACCTAAAGCGCGGACGTCATAAAAAATCAGCGCCCCTGTGAAGAGAAACCGCCATGTGGGAATGAGGCACAGAAAATGCACCTGTTCATAAGCCCTTTGGTCGCCCATGACGCCTGCAGCCTTTACAGGCAACAATACAGCAAAAGCCTAAGAAATCTGGCTGTACAAATCTGCTTTCCTGATTTCCTCGAGATAGATGCTGTCCGCAAGTTGCAAAATCTTTACTTGATCGCGCGTAACGGGACATAAGATGCGAATGGCCAGTCCCAGCCCAGGGAACAGATGCCGCTGCACGAGTGGAGCAGGAATTGACAAAAGATGCCCCAGGGCCCGGACCTCATCTATTCCGATTGAGTGAGAATGACCCGACAGCTTGAGTAGGTGGCGGAGGATAAAGTTTTATCGGACATACCCTCGAACAGCTCTCCCAATGGCTCGATAGCTTTGAGTTTCATGTCCTTGAGGAGACCGCCGACGTTGTGATGGGTTTTGATAGTCGCGCTGAGTCCCTTGAAGCTGATGCTCTCTATGACGTCAGGATAAAGGGTGCCCTGGAGGAGCCATTCGACACGGACTTTGGCTGCCGCGCCGGCCTTTTCCTCCCCATCGGCAGCGGCCTCGATTTTCGCAGCCTCCTCTTCAAAAACATTGGTGAAAGTACTACCAATGATTTTCTGTTTCTGCTTGGGATCCAAAGCCATTGCCATTCTCGTGCGGCCGATAGCATGGAAGTCCAGAGGAGGTTGAGAAAGCTGGTTTCCATAAGACACCCATACCTAAAACTCGCCACATAAATTTCAGACCGAGTGTCACAACGAGGGCTGGGCTCACCTGCATTTCCTCGCCTAGTCCCTCAAACAAGGCTTCTACAGACTCTTCTCCTCCGGTCTTATTGATCTGTATCTCCGCAAAGCCATATTCGCGGTGGTCACACTTCGTTACCTCCCCACCTAGGTTCCAGGCGATTTCCTGGCGATGTCAGTCCAACCGCGAATACGGCTATGGCCTGAAACCTGCTTGAAGTCCATAGCAAAGGCCGAGGATGGGTATTCCAAGCTCAAAGACGGTAGGATCAGCATGCGGCGCATCTTTGTCGTATACGGAGTATGGGGAACCGGAAAGGATGATACCTGAGTGTGTAAATTGATGTGTGAGCATTGGGATATTTGAACGGAACGTACCCCTGGGTTTGAAGTTGATACCCCTTATCAAGGCCGTGCATGGCATAAGTTCCGCATATACGTTGCTCTCTCGACATCTCCTAGTTATCAGATGGCTGTACTGTAAAATTATGAGCATCTGACGGTAAATCGATGCCTTTGTCTGAGATATTTTCGGGTATTCTTCAAGTTTTCACGAGCTCTCGATTCCCACATACCCCTTCGATGATAGAGAGTATTTACACAAGGCGATGGAAATCCAGCCGGGTGACAAAGGATTGCGCATGTAGTGCGGAGCCTGAAGCAAAAGATAGCGTAAAGACCGCGATAGTTGCTACAGCTATAGGGTGAATCGCAGACTGAAGGAGGAATCGTTGCCGAGTCCAGGAGTTCTGTCACTTGAAAACGCCATATGTGCGGGATGTGGAAGTTCCGGGAGGACCTGAAAGTGCCAACGGAAAAGAGTGAGCGACATACAGGTCGCTGGCTCCCGAGCTTTAGCTTAGAGGCACATGTTTCCTAAATAGTGCAAAGGGCAACGATAAATGCGGACGAAAAAGACCAAACGACGTACATGGTACAGGTCACGAAAATCTCCAAACAACAGCTCAGCTCCCTAGCACAAGAAATTCATGGATAATTATGTACACTATCGACAAACAAGTAGTCGAGATGCAATGTGATGAGGTTAGGAGTGCGTATGGTATCGAAAGCGGACGGAAGGGGTGCTCGAGAAAAGTATGCACAAGCGGATGGTGGTACAACAGAAGCGACAGGATAGTGAGTTGTAGAGACGACGAAAAGCGATGAGTACGGACAAGTGTGCAAGATGAAAGACAGAAAAAAGAGAGAGTTGTTAAAGGGGGATAGTAGGTAGGCTGATGATATCGATGGATGGTGTGACAGCCCGACAAGAATGGGTGAAATTATGTAAATAGAAATGTGTCAGTGAGCATGTACAGGTGAAGAATGATAAAGTAGGGTCCAAGGATGGAGGATGGACGGGCGGTAATTAGTTGGTTTCGTAGGGTTGGGGTTGTTGTTGTCGATGAGAAGAAGAATCGATGGATGAAACCCAAAAGAAAGAAAAAAAGGGAATAAATTCAAAACAGAAAGAGTGAGTTCGAGTTCACGGGCGAGCGCGTCTTCACAGATTACCACCCCCTAAAGCGACAACCGTCCGCCCAACTCTTATTCCTCCCCATAGCCAACCCCCTCCTCTCCTCCCTCTCCTCCGCCTCCCCCCCACTCCCCCTTCTCTCCCTATCAGGAGGCTGTGTTTGATCCGCATTAGACGGACCAGCCGCCCCATTCCCATTCCCAGCAGCCTCCCCTTTAGCTCGAAGCTGAACCATACTAGGCGTAGTCATCAACGGCTTCAACCCCCCCAGCACATTACCCCTGCTACCCCCATTTGTACTTGCACGATACCCCACAGGGTTGACCTTGCTCACTTGTCGTTCCCACAACAAATTCCGCCTCAAACTCTCCGACATCTCTGTCTGGAGCATCTGACGGCGGGTCATACGCGGCGTGGAAGGCGCAGCGGGGGGAGGGAGGTTGTACGGGTGTCCAACGGGGATAGGTGTGGGTGTTGGGGGCTGTTCCTCAGGGTACGGACATCTATCAGACACTTGGCGACGAAGTTGACCACATGCGTTGAGCCAAGGTGGAATGACATTATCGTCCAAGGTTGTAAGCCTACCAGACATGGCGGAAGAAGCGCGTGAGCTCGTCGAAGAGGTCAAGTTGCACTTCTGATGGCGGTGATACGGTTTGCTGTTGGAGTCTGCGTCTTTGTCATGCGGTTCGACCGCGTCCTCGCCTTTGCGAATACGAGCCTCCACATCGTCTTTGGGTTCATCCACGTTCGTTCGAGCCTCCATGCAAATCTCACCTGCTGACGTTCGACCCTCACCACCCGACGCCCTCACAGCTGAGAGCGTCCCAGCTCGTCCAGGCAAAGTAAGACACTGCCCATGAGCCCTCTCCCCCGCACTTAAAAGCACAGGAGCAGGCGTGGTGGTGATGGTGCGCATGGGGTTGTGGTTTGTATCGATATTTGGGTTGACATTGATAGTGGTGGAATTGAGGGAGTGAGGGGATGGCGGGTGTTGACGAAGGCATGGGAGAGGTGGTGGATGAAGGCGGAGATGGAGGGCCCTGTGCTGTTGCTGTCGAGGGAATGGAGCCTCCAGACTCTGCAACCGCCCCAGAAGACACATAACCACCCGCAACATCCGCCACAGCAGGCGTAGGTAACGACTCTGCTGCAGAAATGACGGCCTCCCTTGTCGTAGTGGGTTCTGACAGAGGAAGGAGGGGCAAAATGGATAGATTGTACCTGACTGAGCAGGGTTCGTCCAGTACTGCGGTGTTAGTAGCGGGTGATATCGAAATCGTCGCAATGCCGCTCGGGTTGTATGGTGGGGGTAACATATCGCATATAATCTTCCCAACGCTCATCGGATAACGGAGCCGGATCTCCGTATTGAAGACGGCTTGCGGGTCGGTGGGATGGGTATATGTGGCAGGGCTGAGAAATGAGATATCAAGTCAGCATCGTTTATTATGTGTAAAGAAGGGAAGGGAAGGGAGCACGAAAAGAAGGTCACTTACAAGCCCTCTCATCCACATCCAAAGTCGGGGTAAGCGGACGATGATCTACATCTCCATCTCTCTCGACTGGGTGCTTCTTCTTCTCTGATGGTGGACCGGCCAACATCAGTTCGCGATACCAAAGCCTACAAGACATGTTCTCGAGTCGACGCCCGTCTTTGAGTGATTCTTTGCATTTCGTAAATACTGTGAGGTATGTTAATAATTTGAAGTAGAGATTGGAGAGGAAAGAGGAGGAGAGATAAGAAAAGAGGAAGAGAGGAAGAAAAAAGAGGGAAGGAGAAAAGAAGAAGACTAAAGGGCAACTCACGCGTCCACAAGCCAGCCAAAGCCTCGCCCCCTTCAAGCTCCCTAACAGCGTCCGCCGTGACAGAAAGAACGGGTGCTGGAAAAGCGACGAGCATCCCATGTAGTATCGAACAAAGTCAGAAGCAAGGTCCGAGCAAGGTTGGGTGTGTGCGGGGTGCAACGGATGATGATGATGCCGATGATAATCGATAATGGTTTAAAAAGTTGTCTTCTGTATCGCCATCCGTCCTCCGATTCGAATGGCGGTGGCAGAAACCCAACTCGAGCCCCAACCCCAGAACCTAAAAGAAAGAATAAAAAGCGAACGAGCGGGAGGAAAAAAGAAACGCACACACTCAAACGGGATGAACCCGCTTCTCGGTCCGAGCATATAACTCACGTGACATGTTCCGGCTTTTGGTACGCAATGCCTCATCCCTCCTTAAACGCAAGGTTCTTCTCGCTTCTGGTGCCTTCCTGGAGGTGGAATTGACACAAGGGATGACAGCTCAGAGGATACAGAACTGGAACTCTTCCGAGTCAGCTTGAATTAACATGCGGTGGGTAGCATTCCAAACATCTACCCGCCCGCCCAACATAAACTGATGATAAACAACTTGGTGTTTGCTTGGTGGCTCCCACGTACACTTGTCGAAAATGAGCAGGTAAGTATTTTTCCTGTAATGTGTTCATTCTTTGGAAAGATAAACATCGATCCCAGATTTTTATCGCCCGACAGCCCCGGATAAGATCGGTATAAAACCCCCTTCAATCTTCTGCCACGGTACTCTTCTCTAACATATACTATCCCTCAGTACGTCCCTTGACATCCCACCTTTGATTCTCCACTCATGGCCAGACTTAAACAAGTAAAACACAACCACGAAACTCTTTTCAATCGCTATCTGTCTCATCGCCACCCTTTACACCGCGGCTCCTGCAACAGCCATCAAGGAAGTCTGCAGAAATGCCTGCGACTCACCAATCCCGTTCTGCATCCAGGGATACACTGCGACGCGTTTCAACGTTAATACTCCCGACCAATGCTGGCGATGCTGCCAGGCTATTCCGGATGGATTTGGGTGTGACGGGACATACTTCTTTTTATCGACAACCAAAACGCTAATTTGGCTATACTTTTAATCAACAGATGTCTAGATCTGAGGGAATAGTCTTTCGTGTCCTTCTGTCCCCAATCGACGCTTTTTGAATCTACATCATGAATGAACAAACGTTCATCGAAAATTCACAATTAGGCAAGAAAATAAAAACTCCGACTGCTGTTGAATGTAGGCGCTCACTGATGGCCCGCCGGCGTCTTCGCATCGCGCCTCAAGCTGTCCTTGCGTTGGTGTCTAAGTACCGGTACAATCCCCGTCTAAATTCTGAAAGACTGCATTCAATGACCCCGTCGCTTAGGATTTGAAAACCCAAATCCTCGCTGGCAGTCGTCACGACCATCGATGATAAAAACCGACGTCTTCAAATTCTTAATATGGGAAGGCATTCAATTACTGTTGAATCGCTCACAATTCTTAAAGCTGTCCCGAGCTTCTCCCGAACCTTCCGCCGATCATAAGTTGTCTCGTTTATTTGACGCTTGATCAACAATTATTTTTGCTGCACCGGTTGTCCGATCTACATGAAATGCACTGGGGGTCAAAAAGCAAGCATTTGTCGAGTATCATTACAACGAAACACGGCTTATCTATGTCTCAACAGGAATGACTCACTACTTTACCCTACCCAGGCACTCGAGTACATCTGCACTGCCTTCGCCGCGCTCGTACAAAGAATTCCACCAACGTCTTCGCCGTGCCCATAATCCGAACCCATTCGCATCCAAACGGGGGTGGCGACTGCCGTTTTAGTTGTGCCTAGCTGGGGGGTTGGCGCCGTGCACTGCTGCTGTGAGTGCGGTCGTCATTGATTCTCAAACGTCATAGTACTAACCCAGGATCAGATAAAACTTGCTTTTTCCTTTGCAGATTCAGGGGATCAAGGACGAGAAGGGTAACAAAGACAGAACGTCCCTCACTTCAACGAGAGCAACTGGGTTCTAAGACGCGTCGTTGCACTGGGTGCGTTTTTTCTCCCAAACCCCCACATTGGTCTCATTATTTGGATCTGACTACGTCAAGAAAGGCCACTTCTGTAGATACTGTAGTCTACATGTATGTAGTAGCCAAACATAATAATAATTGAGCGAGCGCAGTTGAATCGGCGTCACTTGGGAGTGCTTGGGAGCAACTTGGCCGAAAATGATATCCGGCCTCTTTTTTTTCAGACGAGGTGATCGAACGTCATCAAAAAATACCGAGATCTCAGGTACCGGTCACCCCTTGCGACCCCGATTCGGGTTTGTTTGGCCTGCACTCGTGATGCTTTCATCAGCTGTGATAGGAGGTCTTTCTTTTCGGCCTATGTAAAGGCCCACTTCCCACACTGATCATCATCGTTATCACTTCCAGCATGCCTTCACTGTCTGGTGTTTCTCTTACATCGACTGAGCCACTATCGACCCATCCAGCACCTGCAGCACCTGCAGATGTCCCATTATCCCGAATGGCAACTACCGAATATCTCTATGGCTCTGCAGCACAGTCATCATCTCGGGCAGAACAGCCCCCATCTCCAGTTCTATCTGATTCTGGTATGTTTCAGCTCTAATCATAACATTCAGGATTTTCTTGATGACACATATAGAGTCTTCGTTGAAACACTTCCTGCGAGATCACTTCTCTCAGCAGGAAGAGGCCAACGCAAGAACTACCGCCGATCTCTCACACCGATTGAGTGAGATGACCACTACCCTGGAAAATCTCAAATCCACGATGGAACATGTGGAGGGCACACTCCAGCGTGTTGAAACGACCCTACAGAAGTCCTTTGAACTACAAACGGAACTGTTCACTTTCCAGCGCTCCTCCATAATGCGACAAGAAGAAATACAATCAGGTATTCTAAGTCTTCTGAAGAAGTGAGTATTTCCGTCTGTTTTGTATGGTTGCTGAATGCCCTGTTGGCAGGCTTGCTGTTACATCAGACTCAGAGTAGGGCACAGAGGTTCAGTGGATAGTTATGGCATCTCAAAGCATATCATACATAGTTAACCAATTCATTTTTTCATCCATATTTTGGAAGGCTGAGAACTGCAGAAAGTCTGAGTTTTGAGAAATCCGAATGTCTGAGTGTCCGACGGTCTGTGGTGCAGTTGAAGTAGTGGCCCCAGCCCAAATCTATGAGGCAGTACT